TCAACAAAGACTAACCAGCTGTATTGCTTGAACCTGCTTGGCCGTCCTTTCTCTTTTTATTTGAGGGTTTGCGTTTCTTCTTTTCAGGTTTTCCCTCCTCCTGATCCCGCTTAGCTTTTTCTTCTTTTTCTACCAAAGTACAATATGTTAAATTGAAAACAGGAATCAAAGACCACACAAATATACCTAAAATAAAAGATGGTTATATTACCTTTCAACTCTTTTAAATAATCAGCATTTACTCTCATCCAGAGAGAATCTTTATTCAAAGCTTCTTGTTCAGACATAATATAAGAATCAATTTCATCGTCATCAATATCATCTAAGTCTATCTCTCCAGTTTGAACCTCCTCTGATTCCTCTGTATCATTATGTCGACTGACTTCAAGCAATCCCATGCTGGCAATACTTGGGCCTAAAAAGCAGAATATTACAAAGATTTCTTTTCTACCTTTGGTAAATCACATTTAAATTTACACACCTAATCCTAAATGAGATGATGCATGGTGACCACTACTGCTTGGAGTAGCTTCATTTGACAGGCAATCTTTGATTACCCCCAAAGTGGACTGAGAAGCAAACCGATCTGCTTCAACAGTCTCAGGATCAGCTGAGGGACCTACAGCATAAGATTAAAATTAATATCTTTAAGTGAAAATAGAGAATCACAGCCACTCTGAATTGAATATATTTGTAATGTTTCATGAAGTTTGAATATACCAGATGAGTCTTCTGTTGTCTCTTGCAGAAGAGAAGGGGTAGAACGATTAAGCCTCCTAGATTTTGCTTTTCGTTCTTCTAACTGTCTTTCTATTTCATGCTGAAGATGACTTAAATGTGTATCCAAATCAGCCTCATCAGTTAACTACAATGTAGTTTTTATTTTAAAATAAAAGATGATTAATTACGATACAATAACTGAAGTCATACAAACAGACTACTTGTCCCAAACAAACCTTCTGAAGACGCTCTCTATCCTTTTTCCGAGCAGCTTTGAAAGAAGGTGGGTCCTGTTCCTCCTCAAGATCTACATTCATAAATTCATCCAATGTTAAGGCTGAAGATGGTGTCTCACCAAATTCCATCAATCTGTTGAGAAAAAAAAAATAATTTAATCATGATCATTGTCATTAAAGACATTTTGAACCAACAGAACAGCATAGAAGCAGCGGAAACTTGTATTGGTATAACCTTTTACGTAATGTTGACTCATGAACCTTAACAATTTTTATAACATCATCAACTGTCCTGTTGAACTCATGAAGCCTGGCAGCAATCAACAGGGCTGAAAAAGAAAACAACATTACAACACTAACTGTGTTGGCCAAACAAAGGCCAACTTGTTATCCTGCCTAGATTACCTGCCCCACACAACCCTGATGGTCTTCGACCAGTATGGATTGAATCTCTCTTCATCCGCTGTAGAAGGCGTAGTGCTGTCATGGAGACCTCGTGAGTTTTGTCCCCAAAATCCAACTTGTTTGCAAAACGAAGAATGTACAGACAGGGATCTGCAACAGAATTTCAATATTTTTTTATCTTTTATTAAATAAGTGCATTCTGGAATGAATTGCAATCACATTCAAAACATGTCTCTACTTCACTCCAGCGACGTTAAAAGAAATCTTTCCCTACAGTTCTATTTGCCTACAGCCAGCTTTGTGCACGTACTGGAAAGTGGTAGTGAAGGGGAAGTGTTCGGGCAGGGCACCAGCCGCCAACTGACAACAACTGCATCCGAGACCACAGAACGAATCACGAAGGACTTCCCTGTCGGGGAGCGTAGCGGCAGCGATACCCCTCGTGGGGTGGGGACGAGGCTCTCAGAGAGCCCGGGGGAGCGGAAAGGGAGGGGGTGGGTGGGGGTGGGCCGGCGAAACGCGGACCCGGGGGACCCGGGGGCGCGCAGGCTGCGCAGGGCAGGGGCGACAGGGGCGGCAGGGGCAGCGTGACCCGCACCGCGTTGCGTCCGACGTGAACGTCACCACGGCCCAGATGTAGTCGACAGGGCTGGCGGTAATGAGCCCCAGCCGGACGGGCCGGCCCGCCCGAAGGCCCGCCGGCCGGCCGCGCGGTGCAGCGCTCGGCCCAGTCCGTCGCGGACCCTGCTCGGAGTCCCTCACCACCGCGCTGGTACCCGCTGGCAGTCCGCCGGCGAGCCAAGAGCCCAGCCAGCGAAGGCCAGCGCCCCGGCTCCAGGCGGCTCCAGGCACCTGCTCCAGGCGCTGCAGGACCCGACCCGGCTTCGCCCCGCCCCGCCACGCCCGGCCCGCCGGGCCTTCCGCGAAGGCGGGAAGGGAAGACGCGGGCGCAACGCAGCCGCGGTGTTGTGCTGCCGCAGCGGTGCGCCGCAGTCGCCGCAGCGGTGCAGACCAAGACCATAGCCGGAGCGGCATGGACCAGGCCAGCGTGCGCCGCCCGGTCTCTGGCACGTCGTGAAGCTCGTCAGCCCGACACCGCCAGCTGCAGCCGCGCAGCTACAGTGACAACCACCACTGGCGGCCCCCGGCCCCGACCCGGCGCTGCCGCAACAGGCACACTCCGCCCGGCACCGAGCACGTCGTGACGACGCTCGTCAGCCCGACACCGCCAGCTGCAGCAGCGCAGCTGTGCTGACATCCACCCGGGCCACCGGCAGTGCCGGCCGCCGGCGCAGCCGCGACGCGCACCTGCCCCCAGCTGCAGTGACACCCCCGAGCGGGGGCGCCGCCAGTGCGGCCGCCATGGCGTTCCGGCTCGAGCCGCTGCGCGCCCTGCTGGAGAACTGGGCCTGCGACGAGCGCCTGGAGAACATCTTCATCCAGCCCGAGGGTGAGTATGGGCAGCTGCTTGTAAGTACATTTGCGCTATCGCGGCATTCGTCGCCCCGCCCCGGGCTGCCCGGCGGGCTGCAAGTACAGGCCGTACTGCCGGCGGCGGGGCACGTCGCCGTTGACGCCGCTGTTCGGCGAAACGATGGCCCGGCCTAATCTCACGTCACCTAAACTCATCAGTAATTAGGGGACAGACTTATACCCCCCCCCCTCTTTTTGCACACCCTCGCTCATCGGCTCGTGCTGACTGGTCCCCTTGCGTTCAGCGAAGAAGCCTGCGCGGCCTATGCAAGTACATCGTTTAAACACCCTTCGTTGCTTTTAATAAAAGAACAGTATAAAGCGCGGTGGGCTATGGGGAATTCCCGCGCGCTGACCTATAAAGCAAAATTAATAGGTCATCGACAGGGAGAAAAAGAAAATAAGTTCACATCAAGACAAGGCTATGCCCGCGCGGCGGCCCAGGCCGAGGCCCAGGCCCGGTTCCGGTCCCCATCCTTCTTTTCCTATAACCTCTTTTCGGAGGCGAGGTCGCCATGTAGCAGTGCCCTGACCACACTCTCGCGAGCAAGGTCGCCACCGTCCAAGCTGTGCCTCGCACTACATACACCTTTTAGTTTCATTTCCCGCTCGACTATCGCGGTCGCACTCTACTGCACTGTCGCATCTACTACTTATTTATTTGTACGATTCGCCCCCCGGCTCCGGAGACGACAAGCCCAGATTAAGGCAGCCCTCTTAAGTCCCAAGGTGAGCGGGAAAAAGGATCATCAAAACTATGTTGCGGTTTTTTTGATGGGCGCGAAAGCACAAGCTGCACTCTCTCCACTTCGTTTATCATTTCAGCAGCCTGTCAACCAGCCCCTAAAAGACTTCAACTGCCCACACAAAAGGGTAGAGATTTTTCTTACAACAAGTTCAAAATTCAATTCATAGGATCAGATCCTTTGGGCACACTGTTAAAAATGTCTTGTGATTTCCCGAAGATTCACTTTCAACCACTACTAGAAATTCTTAGAGGACTCCGTTCTTAGTTTTCATGTCGGAAAGCAGCCGTTGAAGGTACAGAGTTATTAGTCGCCTGGGTGTATCGAAGCTAACCTCGACACATGAAATCTACGGAGTCCTTTGGGAAATCCCAAAGGATTTTGGCAATATTTTCCACGAGTGTTCCTCTGTAAAATTCCACAACTTTTTCGAATAGTGCACGTAAATCGGAGCTAGCTCCTGAGATGACCCGATCTCTTTGCACACAGGGTGGTCCACAGACCCCTTCCTTTAATTTGCTTGTACTGAACAAGCAGTCGTTAAAACCCTCGTTGAAGCTGAAGTGAAGTACCACATGCAGGCGGGCGGGCGGGCTTGCCTACCGTCGCTCACCGCGGCGCCTTATGGCCCCGTGCGAGTATGCAACCCACCCGCACGCCAGCATCCGGTACAGTATAAGCAAACTAAAGGAAGGGGTCTGTGGACCAGCCTGCATAGTACACGTGTGCAGAGCTTGGCTTCCCGTGCCAGAGCAGAAAGTGAGTTTGGAAGACTACTAGTTCCTCCTAGTTGAATTTTAGACCCGCCACTTCTCGGCGGCGCGGCTGCGGCTCGGGCATGGTTTATTCAGCTGATTCTAATGACCGGGGAAGCGCGCTGCCGGGCGGGGCGGGGCGGGGCGGGGCGGGGCTGACCGGTGGAACGCCATACGCCCATCGCATCGCCACCCGCAGCTGCAGCAGCTGGAGCAGCGACCGGCCGGTCATTTCTGACAGGGTGTCAGAATTTTCCTCCCTGTCGCCCGCGGCGGCCCCGGGCGGCCCTCGCTGTGCCGCCGCCGGTGCCCTCCGGGGCCTTCCCGCCCGGCCCGCCCCGCCCCGTACCGTACTGTACAGTACAGTGCTGCAGACAGAGCGTTCCCCCCGCCCCGCCCCGCCGAGCAGACGACCAGACGCGTTACGTGTGAACGGAGCTCATCTGCTGACACACCACGTGCGTTGCATTGCTTTCATCGTCCTAACTTCCTTGTACCGGTACTAAAGAAGACAGCGGAGAGTGTGGCAGAACGAGTAGTAGGCCTTGTTAGAGTGACCACTCCCGAAACCTGATTGGTTATAGGTCATTCGTAATCTTCCACGAGAGATAGAGTTCCTAAGAGGACATTAGAGCGATGGGCATATACCGGCATGTACAGGAACTCGTCGAAATGTTGACATTTTGAGGGCCGCTCCTTGGATGTCACTTGGGAAAATTAACCTCACATATTGTTCCTTTGTTCTCCGCTCTCGCAAGTCAAGCTTGCCTGGAGTCAAACCCTCGAAAATGCCCCCATCAACTCTGAACAAAGAGTACCCCAAAAAACCGACAAACATAATGACACACGACGGTCGCCCGCTGTGCGCTGTAGATAGCAAGGAGAGGAGGGGAGGGTAGGCTCTTCCTTCTAGTAGAGACAGTCTTTAGTGTTTTTCCAATGTTTTTGTCATGAAGGGTCTTTTAAGCTACTGTACCTTTTGGCCAAATATTTTGGCTGCACCCTGAACCGAGTGGTGGGGGAGTTGTGCGGGGTCAAGGGGCACCCAGAGGCGGCGGGGGCGGCGCGAACACTGCGTCAATTGGCCAGCTACCTGCCGCGCGCGGGCCGCGTGTCCCTGTTGCGGCTCGTGTGGGACAAGAGCCACTGTATGTCTGATGTATGCCGAACAACGCGCCCGGGACGCTCGCCGCCACCGTTTTTTCCTCAACGAAACAGGAGTTGGGGGAATGTTTTCATTATTTGTCATTATTTGCACGAGGCATACCGCGCGGGCGATGCGTACGGCGCCCGTCGGCTGTACGTACCGGCCACGAGGACGGAGAGTGGTCCACCGCGAGGCTAAAGGGAAGTCCCCCCGGGGGTTACGGCGACAAAACAGGGCGGAGTGGACTGGCCAGTTGAAAAAAGGAGGGGGGGGGGGAGGACTCGTGAGGCTGGTGGGGCCCCTGGTCGGGCGGGCCCAGGTGCCGGTGGGCCCCGGCGGGTCATGTTATGTTATGGTGGCCCTGTGATGTCACAGGCTGACGCCGCTGACGCGCCAGCCGGCCGCCGCCACTCGGCCTGCTTTACTTTATTCACCGGTCTACCCGCCCTGCCCCGCCCCGCCCCGCCCCAGGTCCCAGGTCCTCGTCGCGCCCGGCCACAGCGTCAACTCGAATGGGACCTGCATCGGGGCGCACGCTTATCGAGGTGCTCCAGAAAACGGCGGTTCCAGACTGGGGTCATCGGGAAGAAAAGCGGGAAAGGATGGGGGTCGAGGGCGGGGGTCATTTGCCTACGTACAGGCTGAGGACAGTCCGTCGTAGAGGTAGGACGGTATGGGGATCTCCCCGCGAGAACGGGTCAGACCCCAGAGAGACAAGACCGACAGTCAACACGACATCGAAATGTCACCGTTTCGACTACTTTTTGATCGTTGCTACACGTAATTTCTTACTGGGGTCCCCGTGGTGGACCAACCGACCCATAGTTTCCCTATGAATCGACCAAACGTGCGACAAGACGGGTCCGTGTCCGCTTGTGCTTTTTGGAGGGGAGGCGGGGTTGTGTTGTTTTCTTTGTTTTTTTGTTGTTGTTTTTTTTTGGCAAAGTTCTTTGCTTTACGCCGAGCGTATCGCGGGGCCGGCTGGGCAGCGCTGCTTCCGCGAGACAAGACCGTGCGGACCGCGCCGCGCATATCAACGGCAGCCAGCGCAGCCGCCCGATACCACACGGCCGCGCACCGCGCGCTCCAAAGGCTGCCGGACGCGGAAGCGCTGCTCGGGGAAGTACCAGCTGTCCTACCGACCGGTGGGGCAGGGAAAGCTCAGAGCGCAGGCGGCGGCGCTCTAGCTGCGCTCTAGCAGGGGCTCTTCTCTCCCGCGCTCGCGCTCCCGACACCGTAGCGCCGTCCCTGTCGCCCCCGCCCCC